GTTTAAAATCTTCAAAAATTTTAAAAACATGTTTTACTGTTAAGATTCTATAGAAATATTTACTACCTACAATTTTATTATCAAGATTACCTAAAAGGGGTTTTCAAGAAGATGAATATCAATCATTTTTAGTAAACATTTTTTTACTAAAAATTTTTTTAAACATTTTCCGATGCTGCAAGTAACCACTATTAGAGTTGGAACTTACTGGAAGAGAAAAGATGAAGTATATATAGAAAGATAACAATATACTTAAAAGTTTGCAAACTATATAAATCAAAAAAACAAGATGAAGGGAGCAAATTCTAATAATCAAGGAAAAAAACTAGACAAATAAGAATTTTTAGAGCTTTTTACAGTCACAGTTAAAGGATGAGACTTAGTTGAATGATGAGTAACACAAGAATAAAATTCAGTAGATGGCACAAGAAACGTAGATGAACACAAGAATTTCAATAGATGGCTCTTTATAACAGCTCCCATTATAGTATTTATAGAAAAGAGAAAGAGAAGGCAGATTTAACTGTGTTTACAATGCATTTGTCTAAAATATGCACCTTGATAATGCACCTTGTCTAAAAAAGAAAGGGCATTATTCAAAGATCTGCTCCAGATATGGCAACAATATTTCATACAAGGTCAAATTTGAGAATAAAATCCAGAGTAAGAAACTGGCGAGCACAATAAGATGCAAACTTAGCAGATGCTAATTTAGCAATGAATTTGATATATGGTTTCCAAGAAAACTAAAAGTTAATCCTAGAAGACAAAGGGTAGATGACTCATCGAGTACACTACTTTTCGTAAATATAAGAAAATCTAGATAGCAACAACAAAGATCTACAAGAACGACTACAACGAAGATCTAACAAGAAGATCTAGTTGCAACAATGATTAGCCAAAAAAAAATGAGTTTTATCTGAGTTAAAGTTCACCAGCCACTGAGAGTCCCATGCTGTAGCAGAAGTGAAAGCCTATTCAAGTTCAAATACCTCCTCCAAGCAATCAGAGAGTGTTGGCTTCTTATCAAGACAAGAATAAAGTAGAATAAGGTAGTATCATCAGCAAACAATGTCACCTTAGATGTGAGAATTTCAGGGAGATTATTAATGTAAATTTAATAATATTCAGGGCCAAGGATAGAACCTTGAAGAACCCCTGAAGTTACATGAAATGAAGAAGAGTGTTGTGCATCGAGGACAACATTTATACTACGATTGGTGAGGATGTATTCAATAATCTTAAAGAAGTTACCTGATGCACTGCAAGAAAAGAGCTTATGACCAGCATGCCAAACTTTATCAAAGGCTTTACAAATGTTGAGATGATAACCTTAACCTCACCACATCTATCTAATTCAGAATAAAACCTATCAGTAATTACCGTTAACAAATCAGCAGTAGTAGTAGCGAAATCCATATTGATGATCAGAAAGTTATTATATTCAAGATGTTAGATTAAGTGTTTGTTAATTAAATACTCAAAAAACCTTGATAATGATAGAAAGAAAACTAATAAGACATTAGTTAGGTAAGTCAGATAGTTCTTTAGAACTTTCAATAATAGAGATAACAGATGCTGATAAGACTCTGATAAGCACTTGTTAAATAGTTTTGAAAAGTATAGATTGCCCTTATCTTCTGTTTTCCTTTTGCTTCTATTTTTTTTTTCATCTTTTCAATGTGGAGAATTTCTAACTCAAAATATTAATTTTGTTTTAGTAATCAGAACAGGCTGAGTTTCTGTGTGCAATAGCACAGTGGCTTTTAACTCAAAAAACTTCAAAAATTTCTAATTGTGAATACTTTATCTTATTAGCTAAAACATCTTCAGCTTTACAAAGAGCATACTTATGCCAAACATCACTAATAGAAGATCTTTCAAATAATAGATTCAATTTAAACTGCTCAATTCCAAAATTTTGAAGTTGTGCTTCTCAAGGCTGACCAAGATTTTTTTCATGATTTTCTCTGTGATGGTTTTTGGTTGATGCCCTTTATATTCTTTGGAATTCAGGCAGACATGGACGCTTTTATTCCTTCTCTTTGGTTTTAAACCAAGCCTCACTATACCGCTTACGACTCTGGAAAATAAACTCCTTTAAAAATTGCAAGAAATCAATGCAAAAAGAATTATTTTATGATTAATAAAACTTGTATTTTATCTCATAAATTAGGTTCTAGATACATTTTTTGTTTTCTAAACTCAAAAGTCTCAATCAAGTTTATCTTAAAAAAATTCTCTCATAATTGTAAAAACTTCTAATACATAGGTCAGATATAACTTCAGATCTAAGATCTACTCTTCCAAGGATAGTGCAGAAATTTTTGAAAAGAACTTTTTATCTTTAGATAAATATATAATATATAATAAGAATATTAATATATATTTATATATAATAATATTTACATATAAAAAGACTTTCAAAAATCTTTTAAAATGTCAATAACAAACAAAAGCCTAACATTCCATCTCTCATACATAGGTCTGATCTCCATCTCTTATACATGTATCTGATCTTATTAACTCTCCCAAGAATATGATGAATGTTATATATTTTTATTACTTCAGCTTTTATTGCTTTTTTTACTTAAGCTCTATTGCTAAAGCAAAATTGTCACTTTTATAAGACTGTGACAATATCCGTCACAGTCACTTCTTACCTGCTAGAAAATGGCATGTGCAGCTTTAATTTTAAAAAATTAGGTACGCTCTGACCCCTCTAACTATTGCCCATTCAGTCTTATTACTTAATACTCACATTATTCAGTCTTATTACTAAAAAATTCTATCCCCCCCCAAACCATATTCACATATTCAGTGTTATTACTATTATTCACATATTTAGTAAGAGAGTGGTGTCTTTATTTGGAATGCATCACTGATGCTATACCAAATTGTTTTGGTATTTGATCACATCAATTATGCATGATAACAATCTGCAATACTTGTAGACATACTCTAACTGGAAAACAATTTTCCGAATAAACACAGACAATATTATCAAGGAAACTTTGCAGCTTAAGTAACCAACTGAGTATTCAGTAGATTTCAGAGTATTCAGTAGATTATAAAAAAAATTAATTAAAACAACTTTGAACAGTGGCTAAAGCACCTGGAAAGTGATGGAATATTTAACCAACATCTGTTCAGTTAAACAATGAAATGCTAACGCTACATGCAGAGCATTACTGCACACTCTATTACAACAGTGCCTTAAATGCATCTCAAGCGCACCACAAAGACTTGTTAAGGATAAGGTATGATTACTGTGCTTTTGCAGCACAGAAACCTACCAGCCAGTTAATAGAGTGCATAGTTAGATATATAGACTTTAACTACGGTGATTCACACTTCAGAATTTAGTATGGTAAATAAAGTGATAAAGTAGGTCATCAATTTGGGGCATAAGGAAATAAGGTAGGTCAACTAGAGATATTTTTGAATGAGTTGAGGTACCCCGTATATTGCTGAAAAGAAAAAATAATATGTAAAATATTACCCACATTTGAATGTATCAAAACATACAAAACAAGTAACTTACCAAGCACAAATTAGAGAAATAGCTTTGAAGTCAGCGAAACCCTTTCAGATTTCTGATCAAATTCAGGAAACTCTAAATATATGGATAATGCATTGATGAGAATGTCTAATATCTGCATGAAGACACACCAGAAGATGGAAGACTTTCTATTTTTTCAAAGATGGAAGACTTTCTATTTTTTCAAAGGAAATTCTGTTGTATATCTATGCCAAAAAGACTATAAATAACAGCATAAACAAGATGGCCTATTCTTCAACTTTTTCACAAATATAGATACTACATTGGTTGCTTGCATCTTTATATTTTTAAAGAAGTCTATCTGTGTCTCATAAGTTTGATATAAACTTTCAGATTTTAACTACCAGATGCATGCAATAGTTAAGATTGTAAGAACCATTCTGTTTCCATTTCAGGGGTGTGGAGTCATAAAAAAAAGTACCAACTTCGACTCCAATCGTTGAAATTTTCAGAGTACGACTCTGACTCTATAGCAAAATTTTTGCAAAATTCTTTGAATTCTTTAAAAAATATTGCAAGATAATTAAAAATTTTTTTTTGCCAAAATTCTTTGAAGGTTAAATATTTTGTACATCCACATGCAATTGTACAATAATTAATTCTTACAATAAAAATTGTAAGAATTAATTCATCTGTTTTATAATTATCTGGTGATGACCAGATAATTATGAAAATGTTTTAATAATATATTTTAATAAAATGTTTTGTGGTGATGACCACAACGGAAGGAAAAGATCTGAATTGTGATGACCACAACAGGTACAGGAAATGTTATTCTAGTCTGTTATTCTGAGCTGATTGACAGCTTTGACAATGAATACAAAATTTTTAGTTTATATTCTTTTTAAATTAATAATTTGAGATTTTTAGCCTAAAATATGTTTCTATTTGACAAAATACCATACTATGAACCTATCAGCTAACATTCCAGGCAAATTAGGACAAAATTACACTTAAAAATAGCATGCATATCAAAAATTATGGAAAACTACATTTTTTTCATCAAGATAGAAGAGCACAAAAATCAATACTTTACTAAAAGCTTTGATAATATTTTTAATTCATAACCTACATAAAATCTCTAACTTAGGTATATAAAATATCTAGCTTTTAAAATGAGCATTATTTGATCCCTTATGGACTAATAAAAACACATTTAAATTATGATACATTCAGTGTTCTTTTCATTAAAATTTAGATGACACGTTCAAAGATCTTTGATGTGTCATCTTTGATGTGTTTATACAATTTATTGAATCAACATATTTAGATGACACAATTTAGACAATACAATATTTTGTTTAAAAAATGTGATGCAATCACATTTTTGTTTTGTTTTGTTTAGCTATAAATAAAAAAATAAATAAAAAAAAATGAATAATATCAATATTTTACAATATCAAAATAAACAAGAGAAAAAATAAAAAATAAAAAATACCTGCAGTGAACTATTAATGGCTCAACAAATTTGTCTGCCCATTTATGTATATCTTCTCTGAATGTTAATAAATGGTCAATACATTTTGGAACACTCATATCCGGCCATTCAATAAAGTGAAAAAGTTTAACTTTCCGAGGTGTTTCTGGTTTTTTCTGCACTTCAAATGTATGTATGACATACCCTAATTGCATAATCCATAATTTTAACACATAAAAATGAAAAAGAATTAATTTTTTTTATATAATTCTTTTGAAATTTAAATTCTTTCTTAATTCTCTAAAACCAAAACACCAGAATTCTGTTTTTAATTTTAATTTTCTGAAACCAAAATGCTTGTGTTTTGTTTTTAATTTCAATTCTTCTCTTCTATTTTTACTATAATTAAATCTAATAAATAATAATAAAAAAAAACAAGACAAAAAAAAAAAAAAAAAACAATAATGTAGCCAGAGTGAAATAATTACCATTAAGTTTTTCATAACTATTATTTTTGACATGTATCTTGCCATACTTTTCTTCTTGATTTAGGTTAGGCCAGTATAGTTGAGCATTAGCAACCCCGTGCTCAATTCTTTTACACAGCATTACAATTGTTGCAGATTTACTCTGCCATAACATGTTCCAGAAATCTTTAATGGTAGCTGGAAGGGGAGCTTGTGTTGCTATATAACCATTATTCTTTTTATAGCTACTAATAATGCTTGCATTGATGTAATCAGAAGAACCATCAGTTCTATCATCTTTTAAAATAAACCTGCTTCTATCAGTCGGAAGACACTTTTCATACCTATTTTTATGAGAATTTGCAGCATCTTTACCATGAGAGCACACAAAATAACTGGCATCATTAAGCTGTTCAAACTGTTTGTTTAACATTTTATTTAACTTTGACGATTCAACATAGTTCTTAAAGTTTGTCATCAGAACTGATGGAAATTTTTTATCAACTTCATAATGAAGAACAAATGATTCATTACAAAAATCACTATGTTCTGTTTCATATGTCATATTAGGTTTACCTAATGTAAGTGTATTTGTACCTTCTACAATAGATGAATTGCCTAATCCAGAAGTATTTGGATTTCTTTGTTTGCTATTTTGTGAGTTATTATTTCTGTATTTGCGAATTTTGTACAAAATCCAAATCAAAAATCCCAATATGACAACACCAACAGATGCTGAAATGATAGCGGCTTTGGCACCACTAGAAATGTCTGAAGTTGTGGTGGGAGAAGTAGGAGTAGAAGTAGGAGAAGTAGAATTATCATACAAAAGGGTAGCAGAAGAAAGGGTAGCAGAAGAAAGTGTAGCAGAAGAAAGGGTAGGCAAAACATCAAATAAATTAAGATAACTTAAATCATTGGGATAAACTTCTCCAAATTTAAATGGCTTTGTTGCCGGCATAACAACTTCCAAAACACCATTAAGCAATTGAGTTGTGGCAAATATGCTATAAAATCTATTTCTTTCTAAAGGTTCACTAAAATAATTATTACTTCTGCGAATACGAAATAATTGAGGTGAAAAACCAAAGAGAAATTTGACTTCACTTTGTAGGTCATTTGTAGAAAATTCTCCTGCTAAAAATGGTATCTGATTATCATTTTTAATAGCTTCTTCATAAGTAACAGGTAATAAATAGTATAAAGAATTTGTAAAAGAATCATTGTATTTAAGTTTTACACCTAAAATCTGAATATAACCAGAATTAAAGTTTGATGCGGACAATCTTAAAACAAATCCATATGAAGTTATGTCATCCACAAACATTTTGATTTTTGTTTTCTTAGCTAAACTTTCTTTTACAACATATTGGAAATTACTGTATCTTGTAAGCAAGTTTTCATAAATTCCATATCTAAAATAAATGTAATATGTAACATTATCGCTTAATGAACGATCAAAGTAACCATTTAGAGTGGTTTCACTTCCTACAAAAATAAGAGAGTCATTAAACCCTAAAGATCGATTATGAGCCATGTAACACCTTGAGTTCATTAAAGTGGAAACCTGATAAGAAGCATATAAATCAGAACACAAAGAAAGCTCATCAAGTGAAACAATAACTTGATAAAAAAATACATTTGATGGTTTCATAATATATAATAGCAACGAATCAGGTGCAACACTTTTAACACTTAAAGTCAAATTAAGTTCTTTTTCTGTTAAAAATGAAATAGATTTTGATAGTGAACTGAATAAAATAAAATCTGTCCATATGCTTATAAAACGAACAAAAATAAGATATGAGGAACTGGGTTTTAAAGGAGGACTCCAATATGTGTTATTTGAATTATCACCAATTGTTACATGACATTGTTCTTGAAATAGTTCTATTTGTTTGCTAATATATTGCCTTTTGCCGGTGGCTTTTGCTACATCATAAGAACCAAAACTTTCATTGTTTGAAGGGAAATAAATGGTTTCACTAACTATAATCTGATAATATGAAATTGAACAATTACTATTGTTTACTGCTTTAATATTAATTGTAACTGAGTTAGGGGTTATTTCGCTAATTGTTGGTTGAATTGGAGCAGGATCACACAATCTTTTGAAATCCATAGATGCTGCTTTTCCAAATAAAGGATTACTTGTATGACGATGGTTAAATGCAACTACAGTAACATTGTAAATGTTTTCAGGTGAAGCAGAAATATTTTGCAAACTGGTTGATTGAGTAATAAACCATCTTATTGAATGATATAAGCTATCAAATGGTTTGTATCCAAGCAAAGTTACATTATAAAAGATTTTATTATAATTGTAAATAGGAGCATCCCAAGATAACTGTAAGACTGATCCTGTAAATACAATAAACAAATTAATGGGTGGCGATGGGACTCCTGGCATGGTAGTCATTTTTAAAATCGAACTTTTTTCACTCTCACAATGATCTGTTAACAATTGAACTTCAATAAAATATTCAGAGCTTGGAGACAAATTATCTATTAACAAGAATGTTTCATTTGCAGGTACTGTTTTAATTGTTAGCTGATCTAAAAAGAAAACAAACTTATTAACACAGTATTATTATTATTTGGTTCAATATATATATATATATATATATATATATATATATATATATATATATATATATATATATATATATACATACACACATATATATATATACACATATATATATACACATATATATATACATATATATATATATATATATATATATATATATATATATATATATATATATATATATATATATATATATATATATATACATACACACATATATATATATACACATATATATATACACATATATATATATACATATATATATATATATATATATATATATATATATATATATATATATATATATATATATATATATATATATATATATATATATATATATATATATATATATATATATATATATGGGGTGGTCCATAAATTATGCCACACATGGGGGGGGGGGGGTTAAAGGCTGTAACTACTACGCTAACACTCTATTAACGGAGTAGTTACAGCCTGTTAACAGACTGTTACGGCTGTATATGCAGTGCACATTCTGCGCTTTGAATTAATATGGCTCAAGTGCAGAACTTTATTTAGTTGGTGCACAAAAGTGTGCAGCAACAAAAAAACTATCTTTGTGCACTAAAAAAAAAATTTTCGATACCGAGAAATGAACTTGGATCCCTTGGTTTACTAGCCAGAGGCAGAATCCACTTGGCCACGCTTACGATTCTAATTGAGAGAAAATTCTATTCATAACATAATATTTATATATATATGTTATTATTTATTATATATTATATATATAATATTTTGCATGTATTATATATCGGAAGAATAGAGAGTGATGATAATTTATACAATTTTACACGTAACTATTGGGGTGAAAAAAAACATTAAAAAGACTGGAAAGTACTAATTAATTAACTCAAAGAAGCTCAGAGAATTATAGACATTATATTTAAAACTGTTTTGTATTTTGTAAAATTTTATACCCCCTCCCTCCCTAATAAAAAGTTTTAAAGAAAGATACACTAAATTTAAGTTTAATATTATTTAGTACTTTAATATTATTGACCACTACTTTATATATATATATATATATATATATATATATATATATATATATATATATATATATATATATATATATATATATATATATATATATATATATATATGTATATATAAAATTTATTTATTTTATTGTTACTATTAAGTAAGATACACAAAATTAAAGTTTAATATTTTTTTAGCACTAGAGGCCTTTCAAAAAATCATCAGTAGTGCTATTTATGTTATCAAAATAATATTTTTCTATTTTTAAACAGGAAATGATAATTATCCATAGTCTAATCTTTATAACTATTATAGTCAATTTTTATTTGATTTTAAACAGGAAATGTCAATTAAAAGTGTCATGTTTTTGTTTGTGGAGATGTTTTTTTATTTGATTTCAAACAGGAAATGTCAATTAAAAGTGTCATGTTTTTGTTTGCGGAGATGTTTTTTATAGGAAATTAAATTTTTTTCATTTTTGACATAAAACTAACTTAAATTACAATTTAGAAATAGAATACAGAAAGTTTAAAAATCAGCATCAAAGGTATTTTATTAAATCTTTAGAAAAATATGAATATCTTTACTACAAACACAGTTTATTCCTAAAAAATTTAGAAGTGACAACTTCTATTCTATGTCACAAGAAGAGAAAATGCAATGAAAAAATTTGAATTACAGCGCCTCAAATCAGAATGTGAAATTCTTAAAATAAGAAAAGATAATTTTCTTTCTTCATTACAAAACTTCATTACAGAGCTTAAAGATAAATTAATGTTTCAATACGAGGAATGTAAATAAAAAGATATTGATCGCATTTCCAAAAAATGGACAAAAAAAAAAAGCATCCACTAAAATTGCGTTTGAAAAAGATAGAAATAATCTAAATTCAAAAAAGTTTAATAAAACACCATCAAGATGATATTAACAATTGCTCAACTTCTATTGGATCTACTAATATCGGTGCTGACCATAAACAAACTACAAAAAACTGGATAAGCCTAACTCAAAAAAAATACAACCTAAGGTCATCAATCTTTCCACCAAAAACATGACAACATTTTAAATATCCCTTGCAATTGTTAATATCATCTTGATGGTGTTTTGGATAAAACAAATGTAAATTTAAACTAAAATTAAAAATAGACAAACTAAACTGGTAAGAGAAATGAAACTAAAATAAAAAACTAAACCAAAAAAATAAAAATCTTAACAAATAATAAAATGAATAAAAAATAAACCAGAAAAATAAAAGCATAAAATTAATGTTTCTATTTTAATTTATAAGTATTTTATTATGAAAAATTTAGAAAAAATCAAAGTTTCAAAGTTATTTAATTCAAGCTTTATTACTTCAAAACATAATTATCTAAAAATATGAAACTTTGATACTTTTTAATGTCTACAAAGCAAACAAAACAAAATAAAAAAAATCAAATCAATTAGTAGGATTAAAACCCTCAGTTGATATGACAGTCTTGCCTCATAAATGACACAACGCTACAACAACGTGGCAATAAAGGAAGGTAATTATTTAATTAGCAGGTAATTATTTATCAAATTTGTAGTTAAAGGAAACAAAACTAAAAAAACTTTGTAAAAGACCTATAAAAGTTTTTTTTATGATAAACTGATGTCGAAAAAGGAATTGGATTTTTTAATAAGTACATCTAAAAAAGGCAATCTGGTTTTCTTATTCTTTTTCAATCGGAACTTTTAAATTTTTATGTTATTTATTAGGATGATTAAAAAAATTCTTGGACTTCATATTCAGAATTAAAGATAGCAATTATGTCATTCACATACCGTTTATAAAAAATTGGTTTAGAAGAGGGACAGTTAATAACCCATGTTTGTTCATGAAATATGATGCAAATATTAGCTAAGATAATGCTAAATGAGAACTTATTGCAACACCATCTGTTTGATTGTACTATTTTCCAGCAAACAGAAAATGGAAACCCAGATGTTGAAATCTGTAGTAGTTTTTTAAATTGAGTTTTAGTTGTTTTAAGCAAGTTTGATCTTTAAAGATTAATCAGTTGTATGTTGATGGTTTCCTTAAGTGATATGTTTGTAAATAAACTTTCAACATCATGTGAAACAATAAATTTGTTATTTACATTAATTTGCTTCAATTTTTCAACAAATGAAAATGAGTATAAAGTGCAAAATTGTTTAGATATATGTGGAGACAAGAAATGAGAAAGATGTTTGGCAAGGTTGTATATCCCAATTGTTGATATTATAGGTCGAAAGGTTGGAAGAGAATTGTCTTTACTAGTTTGTGCATCTTAGGTAGAGTTGCCAGATGTCCGGCTTTATAAAGGAGAAAACTCTGCTGTATTCTCCTCTGTAAAAGACGTCTGGCAACCCTAATCTTAGGTAACACATTCTTGCTGCTTGAGATCCTACAGGATAAATTTTATTGTAAATTACTTTTTTTTTTTACAAGAAAATACTGTAATCCTGTATTTTCTTGTTTTTTAGGTCAAGTCATATTTTACTTACATAAACAAAAATAGTAAAAAACATCTATTGCATATAAAATAAAATTCAATAAGTATTATGTAATTATGTAATAATAAAAAAAGCAAAAAAATGTTTGATCATTATTTAAAAAAGTTTGCATTTGAAATTTTTTTTATAAATTTTTTGAAAATTGTTTATAAAGAAACTTGTTCAAATGACCAGTATAAGAATTTCATTTTAAAAAGCATATTTAAAAAACTGTTAAAACAACAACAACAACAACAACAACAACAACAACAACAACAACAAAGAACTAAAGAGCTTTAGTAGTTTTTAAAAAGCTATTTAAATTTTTTACTTTTACATTAAAAACTGTTTAAAAATAAAAAATACATTTCAAACAGAATATTTTTATAGTTGCGTTTTTAACTTAGTATCTAAAATGCAAAGTGAAAATAGTCGATAAACTAAATAGTAGATAAACGCTAATTTAAAGCTAAATCTTTTTCAATAAAAGCAATAAAAATTTGTCCGTTTAAGTTTAAATTATGTGAAACAAAAACAATTTTAAAAGTCATCCATTCAAGAACTCATCCATTCAAGAACTCATCCATTCAAGAATTTATCCATTCAAGAACTCATCCATTCAAGAACTCATACATTCAAGAACTCATACATTCAAGAACTCATCTATTCAAGAACTCATCCATTCAAGCTTTAATTACTAAAGTCTTTTCTTATAATTACTTGCTCTCTCGCTTCGATGTGATTTATAAACTTTTCCAATTAGAAAAAAATGTTTAACAAAGACAAAAAGTAACAAATTATTTTAATAAAATAGCAATCAATCGTTATATCGCTCTAGAATCTTCATCTTTTCTCTTCCAGTAACTTTCAACTCTAATAGTGGTTACTTGCATCAGAATTAGGGTTGATTTTTGGAAATGTTTGATTTTTGAAAACGTTTGATTTTTGAAAATGTTTTAAAAATGCGCTAAATAAAGTATAAGGTATTAAAGAGAGATTTTTCTTTTAAAGATTGTATACTATAAAAATCATTTTATTTAAATTATTGAAAGATATTATATAGCTAAAATTGTATTTTTTATGATGAATGTATATGTTTTTAAAACAGTTTGTACAATTAATTTTATAAACAACAATAAAAACAATCGTTTTAATAAACTTTTTGATAAATCTATAAATTTAATAGTCGAAAATATAATAAAGTAATGTTTTTTGTTTTGCTATGTAAACTTTCTAATGAAATGTTTTTACACTAAGTTAAGTGCTTTTAAAAATAGTTTTAAAACGCTAATTAATAAGTTATCATAAAATATTAAATAAAACTTTATTTCAAAAGATTTTTTTTTTTTAATGATAAATGTAATTTTTTAAAATAATTTTTATTCTTAATTTTATAAACAATGACGACAATGAATGTTCAATAAACATTTTTTTAAAAATTCATAAAATTAATATA